GAAAATAATTCACTGAATCCAAATGACTGAAGAAATTACAGAGTATGAGCCACTGCACCCTGACAATACAGGAAATGTTTCACAACAATACCTGGAAATTCCTCACAAAGTGGGCTATTCAGGCCTAAAAAGTTAATTTTCAAATTAAATAAATTGTTTTTCAAAACCAATTTGCAATCTGTTCTTTGAAAGGAGCTAATTTTCTTCAGTAGGTATGAAGCATATTGAGAATTTTAAATGAATTGCACAGTATAATAAAATGTGGTTTTAATTTTTCCTACATTTACACAGAACCAACCAACTCCTTTAACATATTAGCTTTGATTAACTATTTTAAAGGCAGAAATAATTTATTCAAATTATTTATTAAAGGTCTTGAATAGAAATCATGTAAAATACATGTTTAAAAAAAACTGTTTTAAATGTCACCTTGTGTTACATCAAAAAGGTGGTTAATTGTTTTTGTGAATGTGATTGTTGGATGCAGAATGGTACGATATAAACAGGCATTCCCAAACTCGGTCCTCGAGGGCAGCTGTCCTGCAGGTTTTAGAGGTTTCCTTGCTCCAGTACAGCTGATTTTACTTGAAAGCTGATTAACAGACTTTTGCTCTACTGCTATCATTATAATCAGCTGTGCTAAAGCAGGGAAACCTCTAAATCATGCAGGACAGCTGCCCTCGAGGACCGAGTTTGGGGATGCCTGTTTATATCTTACCATTCTGCATCCAACAATCACAATCACAGAGGACCAACTTTGGGGATGCCTGATGTAAAGCATTGTTTCTCAATCCTGGTCCTAAAGTACCACTGCTTTGCATGTTTTAGATGTTTCTCAGTTGCAGCACACCTTCAAATGATCCCTTAATATAGATCATGTGGAGGACAGTGGTATTTGAGGAACATGGCTGAGAACTACTGATGTAAAGGATGAAACGAGCCGTTGCAACTATGTTTATTAACACACGCCCCTTTGCTTAAGAAAGCATTGGTTGGTGGTACCTGTCGGACTGATATTTTTGTATAATTCATTTTTTGCAGATTTGTATCTTACCAGTGCAGTGCATTGGCTCTTTCAAAATCCTGGATGAATTAAAACATGCACCATCTGCTTCCACTTCTGCTCTTTCCTGTTTTTCTTTGTGTACAAAGAAGTAATGTTTTCTTAGCTTTAAATCAATATCATTTGTTGTGTCACAGTCATTGCAGACCAAATGCAGCCCCCCTCAGCTATTACTCGGGGGATTACAGCAATGGTTGTTTTTTTCTAGATGTTTATTGTTTGTACAACAGAAGCAGCAGTAGAAGTGTTGTTCTGTTTGATCAGTATCCTCTGGCTGTTATCTTCTGTTTGCACATAAAGCTCAATTAGGACATACATTGATGCCACATGATAACCCATGCACTTGCACTGTTAACGTAAAGCTACTTATGTTCCTGCAGTTAGAACCATCTAAGTAATGTTTTTATTTTTCTTAATTGGAAATCATAAGAAAAAAAATATCCAGTTTGCATCAAAGAACAGGAATTATGTCTCTAGACACAATTGCACATTATGGCATCTCTATCTAGAGTTTTGGATTACCTTAAACAATCCAACTTTTAAATCAGTTTGAATCAGAATTGTAAACAGTAGATTGTCAACAGGCTTGGACTTAGGCTCCAATACTAAGCTCCAAAAACCTGTTTAATAAAGCAGGAAAAAAAACAATACATTGAATGATATTAGAAGTTGCAATGTGACAATTACCCCCAAACTGTGACACAGTGTTTGTCTAGAGGTAAACTTAGTATTTCAGCAAGCCGGACCTTCCCATCAGGACATGTATCAAGTTAGCAGACTGTCTACAGCCCAGTAGGGTGTGATAGGAACAGGTGACGACAATTATTCTGGATATAATAAGTGTCTACTGTACATAGCAATGTGTGTAACTCACCGAAAGTATCCAGCTTCTTCTAGAGTATTTTTTTCCCTTAGGGAAGTAAAATGCATCCCCACTGGTTATTCAGCTCAGCAAAAGATTCCTCTGCCACATACACTCAAACAACAGCCTAATATAATATTTTAGTGCAATTAATGTATATTTAATGAAGGACAAGTATGCCACTAATTACTTTATTGATCCAAGAGTCGCTTGGTATTAATTAATCTTTAAGATAGATGAATTTCCATAAAGTGCAATGCTACAAAAGCTAAATTTAGGCCCACTCTCCTAGACCCAGATCCAAGACATTCCAACAAAAATAAGTAAGAAATTTAGCTTGGGTGATTATTAGAACTAATTAAATTAGTGATTGGTTAGAATGTTTCACAATTGTTACTGCTCTGAGGTCAAGTGATACATTTTTCTACAAAGCAGATTTGCCTGTAGTTTATTAAGTTCTCTCTCTTTTTTTGCATAGTTGGTGCAAATAAACAGTTGTGTCACACTTCTTATAAATAGCCAAGCCTGTTAACTGCCACAGCATCCTCAAACTATGAATTTGTTTGCTGACTCATGACACTATTTTTTGTTCACATTGCTAAAACAATTTCAACAAAACAGTATAGATTTTTGTTTTGTTCCCCTGGTGAGTAAGAAGTTTATATCAAACAGAAAAATGTACCACTATCTCAGTGTGTATTTTTAATATGCTTTATGAAAAGACAAATTACCATTTTGTCCTTTTTTTATTTTTCAGTTTTTGAATAGGTAGGGTAAGCAAATAATCTTTTCTATTTGCTAAATGAATGAGAAATGTTAATTTCAATGTATTTTAGTACTTTTCCATTAGAAGTTCACATTCTGGTTCTCTCACCAATCGGGAAAATCCAGGTGATATTATTTTGTTTAAATGGAAGAAAGCTTGCAAGCCCTATGATACAATTTCAAAGGTTATTTTGCTCTTGGGGTGACTGGTTAGGTTGACAAAAAATATGGCACCATGATTTAAACCCATTTTGCTAAAGATATAGTGGAGGATCATCAAGATAAGTTGTTCTCGTAATTGTCAATTATTGTGGTGATATGTTTATATAAGGCCGACCTACAGTACTTGCTTGCTCCCATATTCACTTACCGGTGGTAAGTCTGACATAGTGGAAATATTACAACTCTTCTTTTGAAAAGTAAGCTTTTATGAGAGATGCAAACAGTAACTTTTAAACAGAGTGCATGAGGAGAAATGGGCTCTTACATGCTCTTGCATCCAATTAATAGGAGTTCCCTCTTGGAAGCAGGCACAGGGTTGTGCATTTGCTTTTTTTTTTTTAAGCGGAGAGGGCGTGTCTTTTCAAAAATTAGCAAAAACCTTTAAACCTTAAAAAATACTGAAGCAGCATCTCAAGATATCAGTCAGGAAGCTACAGTTTAGGATTCTCTGGGTCATTAGCATGGACAGTAAGCATACAGCCACCCAGTCACAATATCCCTTGAGGACAATAATCAATAGTTTAGAGCAGCCATCAAAAAGCCCTGATCTCAGTTCAACAGAGAAGATGTGTGTGAGCAAATCACCCAATGGCACCAGTTATGTCAGCAGTAATGGGCCAGCAAACTGTTGTGGGAAGCTCGTGTAGAGCTACGAAAATGCTTTACGAATCTGAAAATTTAGAAAGCAAAATTTGCAAAACATTTTTGTAAATTCCTCACTTTGAAGAGCGTAATAGCATAAAATGGATCTTATTTAATGTCCATGAGAAATAAAAATGTGCACCTATTATTTGTGAAGTGAATGTAGGAATCCGATTCCGGCTGTAAATCTTTTTCTTTTCTTTTTCTTCTATATCCTAAATAGTTAGAATATCATAAGTCAGCTATTTTACACACAAACACTTTAGTGAAAATATTGGATTTGTGCATCAATATTGGATGTTGAGAAATTCTTTAGATGCATGACTAAGCAGCAGTCTTGGTGTCTCACAGAAGAAAAACACATTCTTTGTGTTTCAGAGCAGTCTGTGGGTGGCAGATGCCTACTGTATGAGAACACTGAGGGTGTTTTTTTTTTACTGAAGAAATAACTAAATGTAAGAATGTCTCAGTTTAACACCCTGTGAATCCCTCTCATGGAACATAACAACCTTTCTCTCTCTGTTTCGGTTTCTGCTGCTCCTCTGGGGCAGTGGCCCCTAATTAGAAGCAGGGCTGCTGGATATACATTTTCCCTAACAAGGTGAAAGAAACTGAATGGGACAAGCATAAACTAGGCCGAATATCAACATTCTGACTCATCTGTCTGAGTCTTGCAAGTTTGAGGAGTGAGGAGTGTTTAACATACTGCTGGAACGACGATCTGCAGTTGTTCTTATCCTGTCTTGCAAAGCTGTGAAGCAGACCTTCTCCTGCCGCAGAATATATAAATCTTTCTGGGCTCCAAAATCTCCAAATTAAACATAAGGGCAGAAGCATGGAAAATGAAAATGTAAATCTGTCTGAGAAATGGAGCATTTGAGGATTTTTTTTATTTTTTATCTTTTTTTATAAAAGAATAAATCTCCACCAGTTCCTTCTGTTTGTGTTTATGACCTTTATAATTTATCTCCAAATCTAATAAGCCTTAACAGGCTGCTGTGAGATTTCTTTTTGTTATTTCACATTTTAACATTAAGGTAGTTCTTCAGTTAGCAGCGAGGGGATGTTGGAGACAAAGCGAATGATTTGAGCAAAAGAAAATCTCTAGAAATGAATGACTGCATTCCTCTTTTATGTGTTTAAGTCTTTTTCTTAAAGGAGAAGCTGAAAGGTGGATCATTTCAGTTATGTTGTCATCCATTTCAGCTTTTTTAAATACATCTTAAGCATTAGATCCGTTGTGAAATATAGAGATCAATTTTAGTTGGTGAAACAAAACTACTTTAAAGACATTAAGAAATCTGTTCCCTGTGCATTGTCTATAACACATCACATATTATTTTCTGTTATTTGCAGTTGTCACGCAGCACATTTGTTTGCATTTCAGGGCATGAAAGTAAAAAGAAAAGTATGTAAATCTCTCTTTCTTTTCCCTCTGTCTTTCAGGCTCTTTGGTACAACAGGGAACTGTGCAGCCTGCAGTAAACTGATCCCAGCCTTTGAAATGGTGATGAGAGCCAGAGATAATGTTTACCATTTGGACTGTTTTGCCTGTCAGCTTTGTAACCAGAGGTAAGAACAGGGATCATACCTGCAATGAAACCGCATTTTAATCACATATTGAATGAAGTAGGAAAAAGGGCTCGTATGTAAACCGTTTTTCAAGTGGGGGGAAAAAAATGTTTTTTTTCTGCTTTTTTTTTTTTGTTTCTTTTTTTTTGTTGTTTTCCATTTTAATTGCATTACATCAAGCAGCTTGGAAATCTTGTAGAAAAACCAAAACATTTTTACTTATCTTATTGCATGTCTTTGTTTTTCTAATACCCTTAGAATTGTTTTTACTATAACATAGTGCCAACAGTCTGTTTCCCATCTGTGACTAAATGTGTAAATCTTTAAAGCCAGAGGGACATAAAATTAGTTCTTGTTGTTATGTGTGAAGTTCAGACGCTACAGAAAGAGAAGCATTTTGGTGTATAAAATGAAAAAATAACGAGTACAAGTATATCACTGTATTTCTAGGAGAATAGCACCCACAATGAAACCCTGCAACTACTACAAAGCCTATGGTATGATGTACAAGAAGTATGACATACCCTAATATTGGCTTTCCCCATTAATATATTGTCAGTAATGGCAGCAGTATGAGAGTGGAGCATCCTTTGCATGCTTGTCAGGAGTGCTGTGACCCTGTTCCTCCACACAGCACAAGCCCATTAACCTTCCGCAGGCCAGATTCAGTTACCATAGTGAACACCTGCTGTAAGGGAATTATGACTCCAGTCTCTTTTCTCAGCTGGCAGATATATGAAGCCAGGGCTCATCTGGCACAACATTGCCATGGCTGTGACTGTTACCAGCTTTATTTACCGTGTTACCAGCCTGGCATATTACTGAGGCCAAGCTATTTTCAGCAATGTTCTTATCACCGCTCCCTTTCAGTCACATTATGGAGCTGTTTCCAGAGTGTCACGCAACAAACTGCAGCGCAGAGAGGGAACATCACTGGGACAGGCAGCTGTGTGTTATTTTCCCTCTTCAATTGACTTTGACTTTTAAGGAAAACTGATTTTGAACACTGCAGCCAAACCGATGTCTGAGAAAGCTTGTGCCAGGAATTCTTTGCAGACTCCAGAGGCAACGTTACCATTTGACCAAGTGAGCTTTAACCTGCTTTTTATCAGGTTCCAGTTCCCCAGTCTATTTGCTTTCTAACCAGATTGGTTTATAATATTAAAGTATTTAAAGGCACGCATTAATGATGCCCATCAAATTAAAAACATCCTGTTCATAATGCTTATAATCTAACTAAATATTTGTCAGACATCATTTTCAAATGCAGCATTTCAGACTGCTAAAGATGGGTACTAAACCTGGTATCAAACCACTTGTAAGCCACTTCGGACAGTCTTTACAGACTGACAGGCTTTAGCCGCATCAGTCCTCTAAACTGTATTATTAAGGTTGCATTCAACCTGTCAGGGAGACTTAAATGTTACTAACATTGTATTGCCAATCTCCTTCTCTTTAAGAAGCAGACACAATGAAGGGAGGGGCTAACGTTTTGCTGTCACATCTTCACTTTTCTTACTCTCATCAAACCTTTGACAACATAAAAGCTTTTATGATTCCTTTTGCAAAATTTCTTTTCAAATGTAAGCAGCAACAAATCTAGAGACTATTTTCTGTTGTTTGGTACATTCACTTTGGCAACAAGTGAATGTACTGATCCCTCTGAGTGCACTGTCTGTGGCAAATGGCAACGGCTGCTGCGAGTCCAAAAGGACTGACGGACGGCATGCAGTCAACCTCCCCATTCAGGAAGCTCTGCTACTCTTTATACCTCTGCCTACAGTCAGAAGTGGAAAACGAGTGACTAGTGTTTCCCCATTAAAAATGAGAGAAACTGCATGAGCAAAAACCTCCACTGATTCCGTCTTAGATTACGCATCAGGATGCAATTATAATTTTAATATAATATTTAGTTTTTCTTTAAAACTCAATCCCTCTCTACAGATGATCCACACACAGCTTCCCACTTCATTCACTGTGGGTGCTTCAGCTATCTTTAGTTAAGTTTGATAATACAATAAAATGTAGCCTGGATTCAGGTAAATTAGTGCAGGCATCCCCAAAGTCGGTTCTCGAGGGCCTCTGTCCTGCAGGTTTTAGAGGTTTCCCTGCTTTAGCACAGCTGATTATGATTGCAGTAGAGCAAAAGCCTGTTAATCAGCCTCAATTCAAATCAGCTGTGCTGGAGCAAGGAAACCTCTAAAACCTGCAGAACATTGGGCCTCGAGCACCAAGTTTGGGGATGCCTGAATTACTGAATACCTAAGTTAATTTTTTTGGGGGGGCTTAGATATGTTTTTAATCACAATCTTTCTTGCCAATTTTGAAATCTCCTATAACTTTACAAAATACTTTTTTATTTAAGATGTAGTTTTAATTTGTGTTGCTATTGCTTTATTTATATATAAAATAATTGATTTTGTATTTTTTATTAATTTTGTGTTCTTTTGTTCCAAATGTTTGAAATATAAATGATATATTAAATTATATATTATCATTATTACTATTTTTTTTTTTACCCTTTTGTTTAATTAAAACCTGTCCAAAAGAAAAAAAAAACAACCCTAATTGATAAGGGTATGGATAAAATTGATAATTGTTATATTGATAAGAAGTATTGTTAGGAGTAGCAGCATTGATAAATTTTTATCAAGATCTATCCCTACACGCCACACAAGCTAGCAACAGTTGTATTTATAATCTCTTGTTTCGTTCTTTTTTCACAGGTTTTGCGTTGGGGACAAGTTTTTCCTAAAAAACAACATGATTTTGTGTCAAATGGACTATGAAGAGGGCCAAATGAATGGCAGCTTTGAGACGCAGGTTCAATAGTTGATGGCAGCAACAATCAGATCCACACTTTATACACAAGATGGATGTTCTGCTGCACTTGGAACAAGACAAGCATCCGTCTGCTTGCCTGCAATACTTTTTAACTCCCCTTTCTCGGATCCTTCCCTCCCACCCCACCCACCTCAAGGACTCTGTTATAAATGTTCAACTTTTTGCCCCTACCACACCATGCCCACCCAACACTGAGCAGTTTTAAATTTTGATGTACAGTTGTGCCTGCTATGCTGAGCACTGTATTGCTTGTATGTTTTGTGAAATTTTTTTGATGTTTTCTGTTTCTTTTAGAAATGGTTCACTGGAGGGTATGTACAGTCTGTTTTCTCTGTATATATAAACTGGAACATTTATTTTATGAAATGTAATGCAATTTTATTACTAGTGTGAATTAAAGATTCCTAAATGTTAATAGTGAGTTTTTTGTCCTCCTACTGAAACGAAAGTTGAGGGACGTTGCCCATGTGTTGAAAAAAATCAAATAACTGACAATGCTATAAAAGCTTGGCAGATATATTTAAACATCTCTCATGATGCTTAAAAGGTTTTATTACATTTTGAAAACTTCTGATGAAATTGGAAATGCTGTTTAAAATAAACTAAGCACGACTTTATTTGGAATAAAAGAATGATTCACCAAACTGTGTTGTTGTCAGCATGCAGGTGTCGGGAAGTGAGATAAGTTGAGGGGCTTTTCTGTGATTCATGCTTCACTAATTGCCATCTGATTATGAGGGTGAATTGGCCTGGAAATGAAATGCAACAGCAAATAAATTAGAGGAGGGAAAATAAACGCTCATTGAGTTAGAGCTCACTCAAACTCATCATGAGCTGTATTTATAAAGCTTTTTTTCCCCGAAGGCACTGTTAATAGAGACGCATGACGCTGTCTGTTTATCTGATAAGGTTATTCCTGATAAATGCACCAGGAACTAATGTACTGTCAAATAATTGTCAGATCAATCAAAAGATAATTCACTACACTAAAAATTAGCATCTATAACTATATATATATAATAGTACCAGTTAAAACTTGGTAGAAAAAAAACCTTGTTAAGCTGAATTTTACATTAGCGAAGAAAAAACCAAATGTGTTTAGCTACGATTTTTTTTTCTAAAGTTCAGTTTTAATTTGATCTCTATGCACATTTTGTTTGATAATGTGGAAAGCAGTAAACATTCCAGAAAAAGATACCCAGAGTAACTGGGTGCAAATGCAAAGTTAACAAATTAGATAACTGTTTACTGTTTTAAATTTTGATATTTTTAGATTTAAGCAAATAAAAGCTGTATTTCAAACAAATAGGTGCACATTTTATTGCATTGTTTCCCAGTGCATATAGGGCCTTACAAGTGGGTCTTTTGCTATATTGTTTTCTGAAACATTACAAGAAAAGACGAGCAGGAAAATATGTCAGCCTAAAAGAAAAACAAAAACTTTTATACACAGAACAAAAGTGGCTGAATTATTTATGTTTTTTTTTATAACATACAAATTTATACATTTTAATGAAAAATATTATATAGAAAAATGTTTATATTGTGTAAGTGCTATAGCCTGGACAGGCCTCTTAAAGAATATTTTAAATCAGATCCAATAGCTTTACAAATCCATGATGTTTTAGTTTCCCATCAAAAAACTGTTGGAGATTTTAAAACCTTAACTAGCACTGGTTTACAAGTAAAATAGTTGCTAACCAGGCCAATTAGAGAATGAGATAAAACAAAAAGCACACACCAAATTAGTTTTTAATTGATTCAAGTTGCTAGTGTTAACCTCAATTACAGCAATAATAACAGTCTATGCTGGTCTACAAGGTTCAACCTCCTAGAGATCATCTCCAGACCTCCAGTTCATTGCTCAACAATCTACAAGGAGTTCTTGACCCTAAATTTGTCAGCCACTGTTTTACACTGAAATCAAGAAATATGTTAGTCAAGTTCATAGATTCATTTTTACATGTTTTAAAAACCATTTTAGATCGTATCATGCAGAGCTCAGAGGTAAGATCAGTACTGTACATGTGTACAGTTTTGATAATTTATATAAAATGAAAGTACTAGTAATATATCTGCACTTTCATCAAAGAAACATAATGTAGCATTTTTAAATGTTTAGTACTACAATATTTTTATTTACTGAAAGTTTTTCACACTAGAAGCCACCTTCATCCATAATTGTTTTTTTTTCTTGTTTTTTTTTATAAACTCAAGTCGCATACACTGTCATTTTACAATTGTCCATTTTACAAATAACCAATTTCCTTTTGGACCTTATTCAGAAATGATAAGATTTACATTTATAAGTGCAAATTGGGGGATGTGGACAAAAAAAACTAAGATAAAACTTTAACATGTTTGATGTCCTCAGTATTCCTGTATTATTCCCCGCTTTATTGCTGAGTTGATTTATTTCTTTTTGGAGACAAAAGAAAAAAAATGTATGTTGCAGGTGCAGTATCCTGCAGGCGCTCTCCTACCAGCAGGACACAGAACAGCGATATAATTTGCTAACATATAAATGAGGTGTGCAAAGAGCATTAATTAGAAATTCATTAAAAATTCAGTCTCATTGGCAGGTGTGCAAATAAAGGATTAGGCAGACATCAATTATACCACATAAGAGAACATTTTAATTGCAATTCCTGATTTACAGAGGGAAACAATCAGGCTTCATGCAATATGCCTGATTGCTCATTTCCCTGTAAAATAATGAGGAAAAACCTCACCAGGTAACACTGTCCACAGCTTATGTTGATGAAAACTCGGAGTATTGATTTTTTACTGCATATAGTCTGTCTTGTTGGTGCGTGTCTACATAAAAATAAGAAGTCTGCACACACATAATTTAAAAAGCGCATGAAGAATTATAAAACATGGCACACACCTCCGTATTCACACACATTAATACACATGAACTGCAGGTTGGCATCCCCATCTGCTTGGGTCGGTTGACAAGTTCCTGAGCAGCAAATGTTGTGCTGTTATGACTAAAGTTGGCGAATTCTCCAGCCTCTCCTGAGTTCCTGATTACTGCATTATGGCATCTGCTTAATTAGCTTGGCTGGTGTCATGTGTTGCACCCGAGGGGGTGTTAAAAAGTGCCCTTCCCTCTTGCTCATTATGTGCTGCGATTCATGTGATGTATAATCTCTCCTGACAGGCGTTCGTATTGAAATAGGGGTAGCTGTCAGTGGAGCATGGTCATAAAGGATGCATGCAGGGTAGGAACCACAAATAACGGATAGGTGTAGAAGCTGCCAAAGTTCTATGCAAAACTACTGTTTCTGAGTTCCTTTTGGATCAATCAGCATTTCTTCAGTCTTAATTATACAAAATTCAATTTTATGGTTGAGAGCTCTTTGGGAGAAGAAACTGATAGCAGACTATGCGTTTTTTAATTACAACAGGTAATGTTGAAAGTAACCTCCTGCTGGGTTCTCTCCTTAATTTGAAGGTATCCAAGTATTGGTGAGGAATCAACCTGATCATTGCCATAAAAATAAAAAAAATACTAGAAATTATCAGCAAAATTGATCCTCACAATCTTTCCATCCATTTTCAGCAGTACAATTTCACAGTGTGATAGAAAGTTGGCATTACAGTTTTAGGTAGGTTTCCAACCCTAACCTACAGTATAATAAAGAAGAAAAGAGAAAAACATGATATTATGTTAGAGCATATTTAAGTAAATACCATAATTATTTTTCTACATAACTTCTTTATTTTCCTTGATGCATTATTTTAGTGTTGCAGTGTCATTGTGGAATAATTAAATCTTTCAAATCTGCTTTTGATTTAAACGGGCTTAAGAAATGAAATGAAAAGAAATGTTTTTTGTTGACGAACAACAAAAAACAACATGAAGTTTAACCTTTCAAGGGTACTGTTTCTTATTAGCAATAAGAACCTCTCCATTCTCAGAAGTTAGAGGTAACATCAGCCTTATGAGCTGTACTGTTTGCATAATGATTTACCCGGTAAATGGTGACAATCAAAACTGGCTGCTCACAGCCAAACAAGGACCAACCCCCTAACAACTAATCTTTAGTGCTCTGATGGTCCCTTGTTTCCAGAGGGCGGAGTCATGCTTGCAATGACAGAATTGTAAGAATGAGAGCCTAAATTCACCACCCTGATTTAAAGGTCAAAGGTTTCTGGGAAAAAAATCATAATTCCTTAAAGAGTGGCTCCAGTTGCAGATAAGCATAAACCATTGAATGTTGGCCTTATGGAGTTGTGTTTGTTCTCGGGCCATCCTTTAAGCTACAGGCTGCTCTGTTTCCCTTCTGATCACAGTCATCCATGTACTTAACAGCATATACAACATTACTCTGTGCAGGGGGACCATATCTTTGGAGTGAAGTAGTCTGTACTCTAACATACACTGCAAAAAATTGAAATCTAAATAAGTCATTTTTGCTCAAATTAAGTCAATTTTTTCTTGAATTGAGGAGGTAAGTGAGACACTTTGCCAATGGAACAATTGCTTTGTCTTATTTCAAGTGTATATTATCTAATTATCTTGTTTTAGGAGTAAAATTACTCATTCCAGTGGCAGATCATCTTATTTACCTGCTCAATTTCAGGGTAAATACACTTAATTTAAGCCATTTTTTACTTATTTCTAGATGTTTTTTGCAGTGTATATATACTACATTTTGGAGTTTAAACACCACTGGGTCATAATTTATTTGTTTTTAGTTTAACCTTTATTTAACCAGGAAAGAAAATCCCATTGAGATTAAAAACCTCTTTTTCAAGGGAGTCCTGGCCAAAAGGCAGCAAAGTTACATAAGAAACAGAGGGCCGGATCTATCAAAGGTTTGCGTGTATAAAAACGTGAGCTATTTCACTGCACACGCTAAAAAATGTACAAACTGATCTATCAACAGCGCGCTAAAAGGATTTGGTCCTTAAAACGTGCTAAATAGCGCCTCTTATCCATTTAGTACTTTTTCTGCAATGAATATGCAATATGGGGCGTTTACACGCAAAAGTGCGTCTTGTGGGAGGAGAACATGTAAATATATTAATTTAGCACTCGCAAAGTGATTTATCAAACCTGAAAGCAATTTTGCTAACGGTATCTGACTCTATATTTAACACGTTTCAAAAGAAGGTGCAAATGGTCTGTATGCGTAATTGCGCACACATGGCAGCAGTTATTGTCGCAAGAAGGAGACATCGAAATGAAGCAAGGAGACGCAGAGAACGCATTTTTTCACTCCGTGTGAATATTTTTGGAATGAACGAGGAAACGATCATCAAAACATCGTTTATCCAGCATTGCCATTTTGGAGCTGTTGGGGGAACTCCGAATGGATTTGGAGCCAGCCACAAGGAGGACCCACGCAATACCAGATATCACAAAACTCCTTGCAACATTGCACTTTTTTGCATCTGGGATCTCCCAATCTCGTTTTTCAGAAGTGCTGTCCGACGTTCTAAATGCCATGTCCCCCTGACGCCCTTCTGGAGAACCCCGACCTCCCCCCTGCGCCTGTGGATCAACATGCCAATGCTGCGGGGATGCGTAAGCGCAGTCATCTTATCCACAGTCACTTCTTGTGAGCCATTTGGTATGTGCATTTTTCTACAGGCCAATACAAAACACCTGTTTTTTGTTTTGTTTTTTGTT